GTGTCTTCACAGAGCTCATACCTGACCACAATTTCTGTTGAATACATTCGGTCACGCTTCTCGTGAGAAAAGTGAACCAATGGACTCTTCAAAGTCACCCGAAAAGGAAAGGAAACGAAAATAGTTTGTCTGTCTGGAAATCCCAGCACAGTTTCCTTTTCTTCCATTCTGAGAAACTGTGTACGATAATAGAAACGTTTCTCCTTTTGGGTCTCAGAAAATGGGAGTACCCAGTTCCCAAAGTTGCTTCTCGTAGGGATTCACAGTTTCCAGACCTTTGAACACTTCGGTTACCCTTCTTTGGATATACCTTCTATCTGCTCAATATCCTTCAAAATAAAAAAGTAATGAAGAACGAAAAGACTTATCCTAGTTCCATTTTATTGGCTACTAGCCGTCCCCTGCCACGCATTGCTGTGGCCCACATGGGGGTTCTGTGTAGGTGAACTACTACTCCCAAACTCAAAGTCAATGCCTACCAAACCTTTCCAGTATTTTCTGTTGGTCATGGGAGTTCTGTGTGCCAATATTAATTCAATTCCAAAGTTGATGGAGTTCAGAATGCTCTTTGATTGTAGGTGAACTATAAATCCCAGCAACTACAACTCCCAAATTTCAAGGTCTATTTTCCCCAAACTCCACCAGTGTTCACATTTGGGTATATTGAGTATTCATTCAAAGTTTGGTCCAAATCCACCATTGTTTGACTCTACAGTGCTCTCTGGATGTAGGTGAACTACAACTCCCAAACTCAAGATCAATGCCCACCAAACCCTTCCAGTGTTTTCTGTTAGTCATGGAAATTCTGTGTGCCACATTTGTTTCAATTCCATCATTCGTGGAGTTCATGAACAATGGAATTGACCCATGCTCTTTGATGGTAGGTGAACTATAAATCCCAGCAACTACAACTCCCAAATGTCAAGGTCTATTTTCCCCAAACTCCACCAGTGTTCGCATTTGGGCATATTGAGTCTTCATGGCAAGTTTGGTCCAGATCCATCATTGTTTGTGTCCACAGTGCTCTCTGGATGTAGGTGAACTACAACTCCCAAACTCAAAGTCAATGCCCACCAAACCTTTCCAGTATTTTCTGTTGGTCAAGGGCATTCTGTGTGCAAAGATTAATTAAATTCCATAGTTGATGGAGTTCGGAATGCTCTTTGGTTGTAGGTGAACTATACATCCCAGCAACTAGGTCAGTGCCCACCAAACCCTTCCAGTGTTTTCTGTTAGTCATGGAAATTCTGTGTGCCACATTTGTTTCAATTCCATCATTCGTGGAGTTCATGAACAATGGAATTGAACCATGCTCTTTGATGGTAGGTGAACTATAAATCCCAGCAACTACAACTCCCAAATGCTCAAGGTCTATTTTCCCCAAACTCCACCAGTGTTCACATTTGGGCATATTGAGTATTCGTGCCAAGTTTGGTCCAGATCCATAATTATTTGAGTCCACAGTGCTCTCTGGATGTAGGTGAACTACAACTCCAAAACTCAAGGTCAATGCCCACCAAACCCTTCCAGTATTTTCTGTTGGTCATGGGAGAACTGTGTGCCAAGTTTGGTTCAATTCCATCGTTGGTGGGGTTCAGAATGCTCTTTGATTGTAGGTGAACTATAAATCCCAGCAACTACAACTCCAAATGTCAAGGTCTATTTTCCCCAAACTCCACCAGTGTTCACATTTGGGCATATTGAGTATTCATGCCAAGTTTGTTCCAGATCCATCATTGTTTGAGTCCACAGTGCTCTCTGGATGTAGGTGAACTACAACTCCCAAATTATAGTTATGGAGTAGCAATGAAAAATCATGTTATGGTTGGGGGTCATCACAATATGAGGAACTGTATTAAGGGGTCGCGGCATTAGGAAGGTTGAGAAACACTGCTCTAAAGGGTGCCAATGTTTGGCAATTTACGAGAGGCTGAAAGGCCTTGGCATTGCCAATCTGGAAGTTGTTGGAAGAATTCCCCACATCCACATCGAGGACTGGGAAAAGTATTCAAGAATGTATATGGAAAAAAAGAGAAAGATTTAATATATTAAAGCTGAAGAGTTTTAAGATCGGAAAGAGATGTCGTGTCATTTCATAGCTACTGAATATTTTTGATCCAAAATAGAAAACAGGTTGAAAGTCAGAACAATAATAACAAGAGAAAATTGCAAAAGTATGAGGGTGATTTAGCCTTCCACAATCTCACGCATCCACGACGTAGAATCATAGAATCGTAGAGTTGGAAGAGACCTCATGGGCCATCCAGTCCAACCCCATTCTGCCAAGAAGCAGGAATATTGCATTCAAATCACCCCTGACAGATGGCCATCCAGCCTCTGTTTAAAAGCTTCCAAAGAAGGAGCCTCCACCACACTCCGGGGCAGAGAGTTCCACTGCTGAACGGCTCTCACAGTCAGGAAGTTCTTCCTCATGTTCAGATGGAATCTCCTTTCTTGTAGTTTGAAGCGATTATTCCGCGTCCTAGTCTCCAAGGAAGCAGAAAACAAGCTTGCTCCCTCCTCCCTGTGGCTTCCTCTCACATATTTATACATGGCTATCATATCTCCTCTCAGCCTTCTCTTCTTCAGGCTAAACATGCCCAGCTCCTTCAGCCGCTCCTCATAGGGCTTGTTCTCCAGACCCTTGATCATTTTAGTCGCCCTCCTCTGGACACATTCCAGCTTGCCAACTCTCATGTATTTATACATGGCTATCATGTCTCCTCTCAGCCTTCTCTTCTTTAGGCGAAACATGCCCAGCTCTTTAAGCTGCTCCTCATAGGGCTTGTTCTCCAGACCCGTGATCATTTGAGTTGCCCTACTCTGGACACATTCCAGTTTGTCAACTCTCACGTATTTATACATGGCTATCATGTCTCCTCTCATCCTTCTCTTCTTCAGACTAAACATGCCCAGCTCTTTCAGCCGCTCTTCATGGGGCTCGTTCTCCAGACCCTAGATTATTTGAGTCACCCTCCTCTGGACACATTCCAGCTTGTCAACTCTGACGTATTTAGACATGGCTATCATGTCTCCTCTCAGCCTTCTCTTCTTCAGGCTACACATGCCCAGCTCTTTAAGCCGCTCCTCAAAGGGCTTGTTCTCCAGAACCTTGATCATTTGAGTCACCCTCCTCTGGACACATTCCAGCTTGTCAACTCTCACGTATTTATACATGGCTATCATGTCTCCTCTCAGCCTTCTCTTCTTCAGGCTAAACATGCCCAGCTCTTTAAGCCGCTCCTCATAGGGCTTGTTCTCCAGACCCTTGGATCATTTTAGTCGCCCTCCTCTGGACACATTCCAGCTTGTCACTATCTCTCTTCAATTGTGGTGCCCAGAATTGGACACAGTATTCCAAGTGAGGTCTAACCAAGGCGGAATAGAGCATGACTTCCCGGGATTCTAGACACTATAGAGGCCAAAATCCCGTAGGTTGTTTCTTTGCTGCTGCATCACTTTGTTGGCTCTTGTTTAACTTGTTGTCTGCAAGGTCTCCAAGATCTTTTTCACGCATACTACTCTCAAGCCATGCATCGTCCCCCATTCTGTATCTTTGCATTTCGTTTTTAATGCCTAATTGGAGTATCTTGCATTTGTCCCAGTTTGATACAGTTATTGTTATTATTATTATTATTATTATTACTCGCTTGGGTTCCCGACGTTTGGAAAAGTCCATTTTTTAATTGCACAAAATGCATAAGGTTGCGGGTGAACTACAACTCCCATCATGCCAGACTAACCCTGAGAAACCCCTCCAGTACTTCAAAGTTTGTGATGTTGGGCAACTTTCCTCGAGATGCCTCCTCGAGCTGGAGGTTGACCTTGTTAATCCACAAATGCTTGGCTTGAGAAACAGCCTCTATTTTCGAAGCCCTCATTTCCTGTCATCTGTTTCTCATTGAAGCGGGCCGGCGTGCAACAGGTGAAGCTAAAAATAACTGTGGTTTCTCTCTTCTCTTTCAATCCAAACACATACATACATATAAATATGTACAATGGCTGGGGAGAAAGGGGAAGGGGTCCCGACAATACATAAACAAAGGTATATAGGCTTTCACGTCTTTTGTCATTTCCGGCATCTGGAGGCTGTGCTCAACTCTGGCCACAAGAGGGTGCTGTTGCTTTGTTGTCAGTAGACATCCTCCCGATCGAATCACCGGCATGTCCTTATGGGTGCCTTCTATTACCTCCCCGCTCAAAGCAGTACCTATTTATCTACCCTCTGTTTTCGATCTGCTAGGGGAGCAGAAGCTGGGGCTGACGGTGGGCGCTCACCCTGATCCAAGCTTGAAACACTTGGATTGGGTAAGATTTTCTGCAACTAGCGGTTAACCCACTGTGCTAAGCCTGGCCCCTCTGTAGTACCTCTGTTTTTGATCTGCTAGGTGAGCAGAAGCTGGGGCTGACAGTGGGCACTCACCCCGATCCAAGCTTGAAATGCCAACCGTTTGATCAGGTAGGATTTCTGCAGCTAGCGGTTAACCCGCTGTGCTAAGCCTGGCCCCTCTGTAATACCTCTGTTTTCAATCTGCTAGGTGAGCAGAAGCTGTGGCTGACGGCGGGTGCTCACCCCGATCCAAGCTTGAAATGCCAACCATTCGATCGGGTGGGATTTTCTGCAGCTGGCGGTTAACCCGCTGTGCTAAGACCGGACCCTCTGTAACACTATGTAATATGATTTCTGTTGCTGGGTTATACATTTCATTTCCTAATTGGTTCTATCATAACAATATAGAAGATGTTTATTAAACGGCACAAACTTTGCTTTTGCGGGACATCCCGAAGCACCTTTTGCTACAGTTTTTCAGTGAGTCTCAACCAATGCAACATAGTTTGTGGCAGCCACAAAAACAATGTTTCTGGAGTATAGCAACTATGTCCAAAGTAGGCATCACACCATTAAACTGGAAATAATACTTTCAAGCCAGGAACAGAAAAATTTCCCAAATTTCATCACCTGCCCTTTGGTCCCGGCACCAAGGTTGCTTTTGGTTGCTAAATAAACAGAGGAGGGATCCCACGCAGGCCAGAGATCGGGTTCGTCTTTCCATTGGCATGGCAGCTGTGGGCATTTAACTCTGGAAACCGAGACTCCTCCAAATAGTAGGTGAGCAGGTGCCAAATTCCTTCCTTCCTTCCTTCCTTCCTTCCTTCCTTCCTTCCTTCCTTCCTTCCTTCCTTCCTTCCTTCCTTCCTTCCTTCCTTCCTTCCTTCTTGACATGTTGCACATTAGAATAAAGATGGGACGGTCTTTCCGTGTGTGCCTTCACGTTCCCTGTTGACTTATAGTGACCCCATGGATTTTATGGGGTTTCCTTGGGCAAGGAAGACTCAGAGGTGCTTTTGCCACTCACTTCTTTGGACATAGGGCCGAATAAACCTGGGATTTGTTGTTGGTCACCTATCCAAATCCTCTCCAGGGCTGGCCATGCTTAGCTCCCAAGATTAAATGGGATCTGATGGCTTTAGTGGTGTAAACAATAGGTGCATCTACACCAGTGGTTCCCAACCTTTTTTTGACCAGGAACCACTTGATCAGGGACCACTTCACCAGACACCACTTGATCAGGGACCACTTTGACCAGAGACCTCTTAAGTCAGGGACCTGTTTGACCAGGGACCAATTAACCAGGAACCACTTTGACCAGGGACCACTTGATCAGGGACCACTTTGACCAGGGTCCACTTTGACCAGGGTCCACTTTGACCAGGGTCCACTTTGACCAGGGTCCACTTGTCCAGGGACCACTTGATCAGGGACCACTTGATCAGGGACCACTTAACCAGAAACCATTCGCCAGGGACCAATTTGATAAGGGACCATTTGTCCAGGGACCACTTTGACCAGAGACCACTTGTCCAGGGACCACTAGATCAGGGACCAATTTGACCAGGGACCACTTGATCAGTGACCACTTTGACCAGGGACCACTTTGACCAGGGTCCACTTGATCAGGGACCACTTGTCCAGGGAGCAATTTGACCAGGGACCACTTGATCAGGAACCACTTAACCAGAAACCATTCACCAGGGACCACTAGATCAGGGACCAATTTGACCAGGGACCACTTGATCAGGAACCACTTAACCAGAAACCATTCACCAGGGACCACTAGATCAGGGACCAATTTGATCAGGGGCCATTTGTCCAGGGACCACTAGATCAGGGACCAATTTGACCAGGGACCACTTGATCCGGGACCACTTTGACCAGATATCACTTAAGCCAAGGACCACTTGATAGGGACCACTTTGACCAGGGACCAGTTGACCAGGAACCACTTTGATCGGGGACCACTTGATCAGGGACCACTTTACCAGAGACCACTTGTCCAGTGACCACTTGATCAGGGACCACTTTGACCAGGGACTACTTTGACCGGGGACCACTTGTCCAGGGACCACCTGATCAGGAGCCACTTTGACCAGGGACTACTTTGACTGGGGACCACTTTAGCAGAGACCACTTCCCAGGGACCACTTGATCAGGGACCACTTTCCCAGAGACCTTGTCCAGGGACCACTTGATCAGGGACCAATTTGACCACAGACCACTTTGACCAGAAACCACTTAGTGAGGGACCACTTCATAGGGATTACTTTGACCGGGGACCAGCTGACCAGGAACCACTTTGACCGGGGACCACTTTTGCAGGGACCACTTTGACCAGAGACCACTTAAGTCAGGGACCACTTTGATCAGGGACCAGTTGACCAGGAACCACTTTCACCAGGGACCACTTGACCAGGGACCACTTGACCAGAGACTATTTGTCCAGGGAGCACTTTGTCCAGGGAGCACTTTGACCAGGAACCACTTTGACCAGGAACCACTTTGACCAGGGACCAGTTGACCAGGAACCACTCTCCAACGTTAGTACCAAAAGGGTTATAAATCAGTTCTTGGTCAACTTTAAATTAAGTTTGGATATTTGGGTTGCTGATTCAGAAAATTGCGTTAGATAGACCACATCAGCTCTAGTTTCTGATGCAGAACATAGGCCACCCAGTAGTAGCCATCTGCTCACTCGCAGAAAACCATGTTCAATCCTCTAGTAGTAATCTTTCGTGGGTGGCCAGCCTCTCCCGACATCCCTGTTGCCTTAGCACTATAAGAGGGTTGCCATGTGGTTTTGAAGCAACTGTGTAGTCATGGTGAGGCTGTGGACCATATTTTCATTCTTACAGACCACTGGTGGTCCATGGACCACAGGTTGGGAACCACTGATCTACACAGTAACATGAATGCAAGTTTGACCCAACCTGAACTGCTATGTCTAGGAGTTTTAGTTTGCTAAGGAACCAGCACTCTTTGGTCAGAGAAGGCTGAAAAATCCAGTATTCCAAACAAAGTGGTTTCAAACTGCATTGATTCCACAGTGTAGATGCATTGTAACGAAGAGAGAGACTTGAGGGCAAGACAGAGTCTTACCGTACACATTTCTGATCTTATTCCAAGCAGAAATGAAGCTGTTTATGATCATCTTGCTTTGCGTGGCTGCATTCCCTAGAAGGCTGCGATGTGGTGAGTCTTGTCTCTTTTGCTTTAAATCCACACTGTCTGCTTTGAACTGGATTATATGAGTCTGCACTGCCGTATAATCCAGTTCAAAGCATTTGGGTTGTATATGGCAGTGTAGAAGGAGCCTAAGTCTCCTTCTTTGTGGAGGTTTTTGTGCAGAGGCTGGATGGCCATCTTTTGGGAGGGCTTTGATGGTGTCTTAGGAAAATGGAGTTGGGCTGGATGGCCTTTGGAGTACCCTTTCTTCTATATGATGCTGTGAATTTTCCTCCGCATTTAGGGTTGGGGAAATGTGGCTCTGGCGTCTCTTTTTGTGGCTTCAGCCTCTCTAAACACTCACCCCAAATCAGGCTTTCATTGCTTCTCCCGTCTCCCGCAATTCATTCTTCTGTGATTATTGTGATTTTATATTGTTTGGTGTGTTCATTTATATTGTTTTGCATTTTATCTTTATTATATTTTACTGTATATATTTATGTTGTATATTTGCTTTGCTGTACTGTTGGGCTTGGCCTCATGTAAGCCGCCCCGACTCACCTTGGGGAGATGGTGGTGGGGTATAATTAAAGTATTATTATTATTATTATTATTATTATTATTATTATTATTATTATTAGAAACACAACAAGATGAGTCCACAGCAGACAAGGTCACTCTGCTGGCAGTTGTACTGGATCACACATCGAACACTTTCCAAGTGTCTATTATTATTATTACTACTACTACTACTACTACTACTACTACTACTACTACTACTTTATTTATTTATTTATTTATTTATTTATTTATTTATTTATTTATTTATTTATTTATTTATTTATTTATTTATTTGAAACCCAACAAGATGAGTCCACAGCAGACAAGATCACTCTGCTGGCTGTTGAATTGGATCACACGTCGGACACTTCCCAAGTGTCTATTATTATTATTATTATTATTATTATTATTATTATTATTCGCCGACGCCAGGGCCACATTACCCCAACCTTACATGAGGAGAATTCACTGCATTATATAGAAGAAAGGGTACTCCAAAGGCCATCCAGACCTCACTACCTCTGAGGATGCTTGCCACAGATGCAGGCAAAACGTCAGGAGAAAATGCCTCTAGAACATGGCCATATAGCCCGAAAAAACCTACAATAACCCATTATTATTATTATTATTATTATTATTACTATTATTATTATTATTATTAGAAACACAACAAGATGAGTCCACAGCAGACAAGATCACTCTGTTGGCAGTTGTATTGGATCACACGTCGGAAAGTTTCCAAGTGTCTATTATTATTATTATTATTATTATTATTATTATTATTATTATTATTATTATTATTAAAAACACAGCAAGATGAGTCCACAGCAGACACTCTGTGGGCTGTTGTATTGGATCACACGTCGGACTCTTCCCAAGTGTCTAGGACTGTATGATGTATCGGTGAATAATGCGTGCAGATCCCAGTAAGGTGACCTTTTGCTGCTGGCAGATGGTAATTTTGTCAGTGCTGATTGTGTTTAAGTGCAGGCCAAGGTCTTTAGGCACTGCACCCAGTGTGCCCATCACCACTGGGACCACCTTGACTGGTTTGTGCCAGAGTCTTTGCAGTTCGAACTTTAAATCCTCAATTATTATTATTATTATTATTATTATTATTATTATTATTATTATTATTATTATTAGAAACACAACAAGATGAATCCACAGCAGACACTCTTCTGGCTGTTGAATTGGATCACACGTCGGACACTTCCCAAGTGTCTAGGACTGTGTGATGTATCGGCAAATAATGTGCAGATCCCAGTAACGTGACCTTCTGCAGCTGGCAGATGGCACTTGTTTTTAAGTGCAGGCCAAGGTCTTTAGGTACTGCACCCAGTGTGCCAATCACCACCAGGACCACCTTGACTGGTTTGTGCCAGAGTCTTTGCAGTTCGATCTTTAAATCCTCATATCGTGTCATCTTTTTCAGTTGTTTCTCTTCAATCTTTTGGAAGCTTTTAAGCAGAGGCTGGATGGCCATCTGTCAGGGGTAATTTGAATGCAATATTCCTGCTTCTTGGCAGGGGGTTGGACTGGATGGCCCATCGGGTCTTTTCCAACTCTTTGATTCTATGATTCTATAATCCTGCTGTCACCTGAGATGATGATGATGATGATGATTATTTATTCTCTACCTCCGTAGACTTAACAGTGAGCTCTCTCTCTGCAGATACCAATGGCTGCGTCACCTCCTTGAAACGGGACATTCTGAAGCTGATGGTCAAATGGGAAGATGCCACCTGCCTCCAGAGCCAGCAAGGGCTGCCCCCCAACCTCCTCCAGACGTTGCCCCGAAGCTGCAAGGAGATCAAAACAGCCCTGGAAGGAGCTGGCGGTGGGTGAACTGGGGAGAGCAATGGGTCGGGTCCAGAACGACCCTGAGTTAGAACTAGGGAGAAGGTCTCCTTCCAAAAATGACCTCTATCTCCTCCCTTGTTGGAGAGATGTTTTCATCAATTTCAGGTGCATCCACACTGCAGAATTAATGCAGTTTGGCACCACTTGAACTGTCATGGCTCAATGCTATGGATGCCCACGACTTGTAGTTTGGTGAAGTACCACCCCTCTTTGGTAGAGGAGAGGGAAAGTCAAACTACAACTTTCATGATGCCATTGCACTGAACCATCGCCATTCATGTATTGAGTCTTCATAGGAAATCTGCTACAAAACAGGAACTTTTTTGTTGAGTACCAGGGTCAGAGAAACAAATGGAGAAAACAGAAGAACAGCCTACCTCAGGGGAGTGTGCTTGCTCCATTCATGTGTAACCTTCAAACAAATCACCAGCCACTGTCAGAAGGGACAGAGTTTAATCTATGCTGACGATCGTGCCATCACCAGCCAAGCAGGAAGCTTTGAAATGGTTGAACAGAAGCTCTCCAAAGCTTGCTCCATCAATGTTCAGCATTTACACAAATGATCGGTCACTGCCAGAAGGGACAGAGAGTTTCATCTATGCTGACGATCGTGCCATCACCACCCAAGCAGGGAGCTTTGAAATGGTTGAACAGAAGCTCTCTGAAGCTTTAGGTGCTCTTACTGCCTATTACAGGGAAAGCCAGCTGATTCCTAATCCACCTAAAACACAGACGTGTGCTTTTCATCTTAAGAACAGACAAGCATCTCGAGCTCTGAGGATGACCTGGAAGGAATCCCACTGGAGCATTGCAGCACACCCAAATACCTGGGAGTCACTCTGGACCGTGCTCTGACTGATCAGAAGCACTGCTTGAATATCAAGCAAAAAGTGGGTGCTAGAAACAATATAGTACTAAAGCTGATTGGCACAACCTGGGAATCACAACCAGACACAGTGAAGGCATCTGCCCTTGTACTTTGTTACTCTGCTGCTGAGTATGCATGCCCAGTGTGTAATATTTATTATTTATTTATATGCCACCCTTCTCACCCCAAAGGGGACTCAGAGCAGCTTACAAGTTATATGTAAATACAATATATTATAGTATTAGCATAGCACAATATTATAACATACATTCCTATATTGTACTATACCAGTATACTATAATATCATTAATAATATTACATTTAATATGAAATATATAATTATTATCTTGTATTATTATTATTAGTATTATATTGTATCACATTATAACATTATCAATATTATATGTGTATACAATATATTATATTATTAGCACAACCCAACATTAGTATTACATATTACTATATTGTACTATACCACTATACTGGAATATACTGTACTATATATTGTATATAGTATATATACAATAATATATATTGCGGTGGCGCAGTGGGTTAAACTGCTGAGCTGCTAAACTTGTTGACTGAAAGGTCACAGGTTCGAATCTGGGGAGTGGGGTGAGCTCCCGCTGTTAGCCCCAGCTTCTGCCAACCTAGCAGTTCGAAAACATGCAAAAGTGAGTAGATCAATAGATACCACTTTGGCGGGAAGGTAAGGGCGCTCCATGCAGTCATGCAGGCCACATGACCTTGGAGGTGTCTATGGACAACGCCGACTCTATGGCTTAGAAATGGAGATGAGCACCAGCCCCCCAGAGTCGGACACGACTGGACTTCATGTCAGGGGAAAACCGTTACCGTTACCTTTACCACTATACTGTAATATACTGGAATACATCTCACCATGTTAAAACAGTGGATGTGGCTCTTAATGAGACATGCTGCATGATCACAGGATGTCTACGCCCAGCACCGCTGGAGAAATTATATTGTTTAGCACCATCTGACATCCGTTGGGAAGTAGCAGCCAATAACGAAAGATCCAAGGCAATGGCACCTCCAGCCCATCCTCAGTTTGGATATCAGCCAGCCCTACAATGCCTTAAATCAATAAATAGCTTTCTAAGATCTACAGAGATACTTGCAGGAACACCTCAGCAAGCAAGAGTCCAAAAGTGGCAGGCTCAAACCCAGAACCTCAATCAGTAGCTGAGACCAGATGAGAGTCTCCCCCTGGGCACAGAGAAGACTGGGCAACTCGCTGCACAAACTATCCATGGTATTATACAACTCTCCTCCGGAACCATATTTCAAATTAATTGATTTTCCTTTCTAATCATCATTATTTCCTGTCCAGTTTTCTCAAGATAGACATAAAAATGGGAAATGCTGACTTTGGAACAGGGTTTCCCCACTTATTGGATTGGATGAATTTTTTTAGATGCCAAAATATTGTCGCAAAGTTCAACCAAAGCGGAACACCAATTTCTTTAGCTTGCAAATGCAAGGCTGAACACAAGATGGCACTGGCGGAGAGCAAAAGAAGCTGCGCATAGTCAAAACTGTGGCTGCATTACATACAAGTTCCTCCTGTTGTGGTGACCCACAACCATAACATTATTTGCTACTTCATAACTATAATTTTGCCACTGTTACGAATCATAATGTAAATATGCAGGATGTATTTTCATTCTCTGGACCAAATTTGAATAGTGATTTTGTTATTTGGGAGTTGTAGTTGCTAGGATTTATAGTTCACCTACAATCAAAGAGCATTCTGAACTCCACCAATGATGGAATTGAACCAATCTTGGCACACAGAACTCCCTTCACCAGCAGAAAATACTGGAAAGGTTTGCTGGGCATTGACCTTGAGTTTGGGAGTTGTAGTTCACCTACATCCAGAGATCACTGTGGACACAAACAATGATGGATCTGGACCAAACTTGACATGGATACCCAATATACCCAATTGTGAATACTGGTGAAGTTTCGGGAAAATATTCCTTGATATTTGGGAGTTGTAGTTGCTGGGATTTATAGTTCACTTACAATCAAAGAGCATTCTGAACTCCACCAATGATGGAATTGAACCAATATTGGCACACAGAACTCCCTTGACTGACAGAAAATACTGGAAAGGTTTGGTGCGCATTGACTTTGAGTTTGGGAGTTGTAGTTCACCTGCATACAGAGCACTCTGAACTCAAACAATGATGGATCTGGACCAAACTTGGCACGGATATCCAATATACCCAATTGTGAATATTGGTGAAGTTTGGGGAAAATAAACCTTGACATTTGGGAGTTGTAGTTGCTAGGATTTATAGTTCACCCACAACCAAGAGCATTCTGAACCCCACCAGTGACAAAATGGGCCAAACGTCCCACACAGAAAGCCCATAACCAACAGAAAGTACTGAATGTATTTGGTGGGCATTGACCAGTGGGCCAAACTTGCCTATTGACTTTGGCCTCCTCTTATAGATGGGTTGTATTTCCTGGAAACAGAAGAAGGTGAGATCTACCAAACCTTCTGCGACATGACCACCCACGGAGGTGGCTGGACCCTGGTGGCCAGCATCCACGAGAACAACATCTATGGGAAATGCACCCTGGGCGACCGCTGGACCAGCCAACAGGGCAACAACGCCAATTACCCCAAAGGGGAAGGGAACTGGGACAAGAACACCACGTTCGGGACTGCGGTGGGTTCGACCAGCGACGACTACAAGGTGGGAAGACAGGAGAATTTTTTTCTTGATAATAGTTTTTTATTACTATACCTTAATATAACATAGTAAGGTGGTTTTTGAGTTATATTAATTCCACAAACGAACATTACATTTTTATTTACAAGGGTTGAATGAAATGTAATGCCTCCACCTTCGTAACTCCTCAACAGATTGCAGTACTTGTATGTGGCAGGTACTGGCTTGTTCAGTAGACTCTCCTCTACAGTTCCATTTTTGCAGGAAGCCTTAGCATTGAACGGTTTGTGTTGTTAAAGTGAAAAGTAATGCCTCCACCTTCGTAACTCTTCAACAGATGGCAGTACTGCTATGCGGCAGGTACTGGCTTGTTCAGTAGACTCTCCTCTACAGTTCCATTTTGGCGGGAAGCCTTAGCATTGAACAGTTTTGTTGTTAAAGTGAAAAGTAATGCCTCCACCTTCGTAACTCTTCAACAGATGGCAGTACTGGTATGCGGCAGGTACTGGCTTGTTCAGTAGACTCTCCTCTACAGTTCCATTTTGGCAGGAAGCTTTCGCATTTAACAGTTGTGTTGTTAAAGTGAAAAGTAATGCCTCCACCTTCGTAACTCCTCAACAGATGGCAGTACTGGTATGCGGCAGGTACTGGCTTGTTCAGTAGACTCTCCTCTACAGTTCCATTTTGGCAGGAAGCTTTCGCATTGAACAGTTGTGTTGTTAAAGTGAAAAGTAATGCCTCCACCTTTGTAACTCCTCAACAGATGACAGTACTGGTATGCGGCAGGTACTGGCTTGTTCAGTAGACTCTGCTCTACAGTTCCGTTTTGGCAGGAAGCCTTAGCATTGAACAGTTTTGTTGTTAAAGTGAAAAGTAATGCCTCCACCTTCGTAACTCCTCAACAGATGGCAGTACTGGTATGAGGCAGGCACTGGCTTATTCAGTAGACTCACCTCTATAGATCCATTTGGGCAGGAAGCCTTAACATTGAACGGTTGTGTTGTTAAAGTGAAAAGTAATGCCTTCTCCTTCGTAACTCCACAACAGATGGCAGTACTGGTATGCGGCAGGTACTGGCTTGTTCAGTAGACTCTCCTCTACAGTTAAGAATAAATAATGATAAAACTTTATTTGTACCCCGCTACCATCTCCCATGGGACTCAGTGCGGCTTACATGAGGTCAAGCCCAAAATACATCAAACAACATCAATAACACAACATTAATAAACAATAAAATACAAATCATATAAATCCCATAACAAAACAACTATCAATAGTGACATATAAAAAGTTTTTAAATGGCTGGGCCAAATGTAATAAGTTAAAATTGAAAATATGCTGACGTGAACAGGTAAAAAATATAACAGGATAGGATTTTTCAAAGAGAAACGAGGGAACAACAATCCATCCTAAGTCAGTATTAAAGTGCATTAAAAGGGCATATTGCTGAGAGTTCCATTTGTTAGATTTTGACAGGAAGCCTTAGCATTGAACGGTTGTGTTGTTAAAGTGAAAAGTAATGCCTCCACCTTCGTAACTCTTCAACAGATTGCAGTACTTGTATGTGGCAGGTACTGGCTTGTTCAGTAGACTCTCCTCTACAGTTCCATTTTGGCGGGAAGCCTTAGCATTGAACGGTTGTGTTGTTAAAGTGTGAAGTATGGAATCCTGCGCAGACGGTCGGTCAATGCGACATAAGCAACGTGCAGTCATTGAATTCTTGACAGCAGGAGGTGTCACCTCAAAGGGGATTCATCAGAGAATGCAAGTTGTTTATGGTGATTGTGTTGATGTGAGTACTGTGCGTCGTTGGGCGAGTAAGTTTAAAGATGTTGAGGTGGGAACATCTGACTTGCGTGACAAACAAAGAGTTGGGCGTTCTGTGACAGCAACCACCGAGTTTCACAAGCAAAAGGTTGACAGATTGATTCAGGACGATTGTTGTATCACTCAGAGAGAAATTTCAAGCCTAATCGGCATTTCACAAGAACGTGTGGGTCATGTTATCGCTTTGCTTGGCTATCGGAAGATCTGTGCATGATGGGTACCCAGGATGCTGACGCTGGTTGTGGAAACAGAGTGTTGACTTCTTTCGTGACGGCTTCAGAAAACTTGTTCATTGTTGGCAGAAATGTATACAATTGTCTGGTGATTACGTGGAAAAGTGAATAGTGGGTCACATTATTGTTTTGCTTGGCTATCGAAAATCTGTGCACGATGGGTACCCAGGATGCTGACGCTGGTTGCAGAAACAGGTTGTCGACTTCTTCTGTGACAGCTCCAGAAAACTTGTTCATTGTTGACAGAAATGTATCCAATTGTCTGGGGATTATGTGGAAAAGTGAATAGTGGGTCACATTATTGCTTTGCTTGACTATTGGAAGATTTATGCACGATGGGTACCCAGGATGCTGACGCTGGTTGCAGAAACAGAGAGTTGACTTCTTCCATGATGGCTTCAGAAAACTTGTTCATTGTTGGCAGAAATGTATCCAATTGTCTGGGGATTATGTGGAAAAGTGAATAGTGGGTCACATTATTGCTTTGCTTGGCTATCAGAAGATCTGTGCATGATGGGTACCCAGGATGCTGATGCCTGAAATGAAAGCGCACAGACTTGAAACTTCAGAGACTGGATCTCACCACCGAACGACATCCTTCATACAGTCCAGATTTAGCACCGTCTGACTACCACCTGTTCCTGATAATGAAAGAAGATCTGTGGGGACATTGTTATGCTTCTGATGAAGACGTTGCGAGAACTGTGAGACACCGGTTGTGGAAACAGAGTGTCGACTTCTTCTGTGACGGCTTCAGAAAACCTGCTCCTCGTTGGCAGAAATGTATCCGATTGTCTGGTGATTATGTGGAAAAGTGAATAGTTGTAGCTGTGCCGCCGCGCCTGTGGGCTATAGCTCTTAGTGAAAGAGGCATGGACGTGACATCTTTCCCCCAGGGGATTGCTTCTTGCCCTCCTTTAGGAAACTGGAACTCCCAAAGACCCAAACACTGTAGATAACTCAAAATAAGATTTATTGTTCACAAAGAGTTATCTCTTTAAGGCAATAAGATGGAAGTTTCAAAGGGGTGAAGGAAAATATACATTATAGTCTCTGTTTGTCTTGGGACCAAAGAGTTTGCAGCTGAGAAGCTTTTCCAAGTTTCCTTTTTCCTCAATGACTGTGAATATCAGAATAATCACAACCCCAATTCCAATGGTCTATATCTGAAGGGACAAAGCCTTCCGCTGGTGCCAAAAGAACTGGTTTGAAGGTGCTTGAGACTTCCCAACGTCGTTCAGGTTGATCTGAACATGAAGCATAAGTCTCAAGGGTAAAAACCTCATAATTGGTGTTGAGAGGTAACTTAATCAGGGGCTTTTAGAGCCAAGTCTCTTACTCACGTCCATCTGGTAGAAAATCTGATGGTGGAATGAAAAAGGGAAGCACTCCCCTCCTCCAGGAAGAGGTGGAGCCAAACAATTGAGCTGAGAAAGCAATTCAAACAACATTGATTGACAGCTATAAATAACCAATCAATCCAACTATACATAGGCATGGTAAAAAGGCAGGATTAAGCATGATACAACAGTTGAAATCTTGCAACTAACAGTTCTACACATAGGTGGCACCACTCGCGCCATCACAGTAGCTAAAGAGCACTTTCTAAGGATTATTTCTGCACTTGATTTATTAAAATATTCCCATCCAAACCCAAGTAACGAAGGGGAGGCATTACTTTTCATTCAACCCTCTCCTGGATTGTTTTTTTTTTAAACTACTGACTCATGTCTTCTTAAGCTATAGGCCACAATCTCACTCCACTTTATATACTTTCCACCTCTACAATCTCCTTCAATGTCTTTTGCGTTCCAGAACCCTGGCTACTACGACCTTGAGGCAAGGGACATGGCCATATGGCACGTCCCCAACAACAGCCCCATGAGGGAATGGCGGGGGTCCGCTATCTTGAGGTACCACACCGAGACGGGCTTCTTGTCTGCGGAAGGAGGCAACCTTCTCCGGCTCTACCAGGTACATCTCCTGCAGTTTTTAAAAATCTCACATTTCATGATTGATGGTAAACATGCGAATAGCCAAAGTTACATCTAAGAAAGCCAAGGTTTAATAATAATAATAATAATAATAGTAATAATAATAGTTCCACTAGTTATGACTAGTGTCTGCTGTGGACTCATCTTGTTGTGTTCCTAATAATAATAATAATAATAATAATCAGCACACTGGGTGCAGTGCCTCAAAACCTTGGCCTGCACTTAAAAACAATCGCCGCTGACAAAATCTGTCAGCTGCAAAAGGCCACCCTACTCAGATCTGTACACATTATTCGCAAGACATTACACAGTCCTAGACACTTGGGAAGTGACCGACGTGACTGAATACAAAAGTCAGCATAGTGATCTTGTTTTCTGCATACGAATCTTGTTGTGTATTTAATAATAATAATAATAATAATAATAATAATAATAATAATAATGGTGATCAGCACACTGGATGCAGCACTTAAAGACCTTGGCCTGCACTTAAAAACAATTGGTGCTATGCTGTGTATCTAATAATAATAATAATAATAATAATAATAATAATAATAATAATAATGGTGATCAGCACACTGGATGCAGCGCCTAAAGACCTTGGCCTGCACTTAAAAACAATCGGTGCTGTGCTGTGTATCTAATAATAATAGTGATCAGCACACTGGATGCAGCGCCTAAAGACCTTGGCCTGCACTTAAAAACAATAGGTGCTGTGCTATGTATCTAATAATAATAATAATAATAATAATAATAATAATAGTGACCTGCACACTGGATGCAGCGCCTAAAGACCTTGGCCTGCACTTAAAAACAATTGGTGCTTTCTGTGTAAATAATAATAATAATAATAATAATAATAATAATAATAATAATAGATGCTGCGCCACTCCAAGATACCCTGCTTTTATTAAGTTGCGGTCTTGCAAATGCAGGTCTTTGTTCGCCTGCTATTTACAGCTTGCCTGCTTTCTGCAAACAATTTCTGCAATTTGTATTTTCTCCCCCAGCAATACCCAGTGACGTACGGCATCGGCAGCTGCCCGGCAAACAATGGCCCAGTTGTGCCTGTCGTCTATGACACTGGAAACGAGAAGCAGACCGCCTTCTACTACTCTCCAAATTCGAGAAGTAAGTCGTTTTCTGTATCCGAGACGTCTGTTTGCTGTAGTACGTGCTTTTCCTTGCTGCGCATCTTGTGTTTTCTTTAGCCCACCATTTTTAGAAAGGAGATTTCTTACACATATATCGATACATCTTGTCTCCCCAGATGAGTTTGTTGCTGGATACATACAGTTCCGGGTGTTTAATAATGAGAAGGCCGCCATGGCTCTTTGCGCAGGAATCAAAGCCACCGGTTGCAATACGGAGATGGTGAGTAGCGTACGATCCCATCCACACTGTCATATAGTGCTGTTTGAGTCTGCATTGTATCGTCAGTGTCAGGGGCGGCTCGTCCATTACGCGAAGTAAGCGGTCGCAGAACACTTTTTTTGCAGAGGCGCCTCTGTAAATGCCCCTCGACCGCCACTTGAGGAGCGCCCCCTCAGCTCACAACAGCCCTAGCAGTCCGGGGGGAGCCTCGGCTTTCTTGCCTCGCTGCCAGGCGATCCTCTTCCCAAAGGGGCCGGGCCCTTGAGCCTCACCTCGCCCCTCTCGTTCCTGCTCCACCCGGCCACCGGGTGCGCGAGCAGAGCCGGCGCTCAATCGTTCTCCGCGTTCGATCCCTTCCCCATGACCGGCTCCCTTTCCCGATCCCCCGGCGCTCCACCCGCCTCCTCTCCTCTCCCCAATCCGCGGGTGGGCCAAGGGGCGGAGCCACCGCACCTGGCCCACTTCGGGTCAGAGGCGTGTCTGAAGACCCCAGCGTGTGCACCAAAAGTCGCCTCTTCTCCTGACTTTCTCTTCAGCCATTGGGACCAGAGAGAGAGAGAGAGAGAGAGAGAGCCCCTCCGGCTGGAGGTATCTCCCACCTCCGCTCCCTCCTTTGTTTTTGCGCCTACCTTCAGGAAAGGTGGGCATCTCCACCCCTCTCTCTCTCTCTCTCTCTCTTGGTCCCAATGGCTGAGGAGAAAGTCAGGAGAAGAGGTGACTTTTGGTGCACACGCCTCTGGACCCAAAGCGGGCCAGGCAAGGGAGCAAGTGCGGCAAGTGTAGTTACTGGGATGTATAGTTCACCTACAATCAAAGAACATTCTGAACTCCACCAATGATGGAATTGAACCAAATATGGCACACAGAACTCCCACGACAAACAGAAAATATATATCAATGATTGGTTGGGGAGGGCGGGCGCCAAAATACTGTTTGCTTACCGTTGAAAATTACCTAGTGTCAGTGTAGACTCATATACCACAGTTTTAAAGTGCTACACCATTGGGGGATGCTGCTCGTGCAATGTCGAAGGCTTTACTCGCCGGAATCACTGGGTTGCTGTGAGTTTTCCCAACTGCCTGGCCATGCTCCAGAAGCATTCTCTCCTGATGTTTTGCCCACATCTATGGCAGGCATCCTCAGAGGTTATGACAGTGTTTCTCAACCTTCCTAATGCCGTGACCCCTTAATACAGTTCCTCATGTTGTGGTGACCTCCAACAATACCATTATTTTATTATTGATCTAGAGTTTGGGAGTTGTAGTTCACCTACATCCAGAGAGCACTGTGGACTCACACAATGGTGGATCTGGACCAAACTTGGCACAAATATTCAATATGTCCAAGTGTGAATACAGGTGGAGTTTGGGGAAAATAGACCTGGACATTTGGGAGTTGTAGTTGCTGGGATTTATAGTTCACCTACAATCAAAGAGTATTCTGAACCCCTCTGATGATGGAAATTATCCAAACTTGGCACACAGTACTCCCATGACCAACAGGAAGGGTTTGATGGGCACTGACCTTGAGTTTGGGAGTTGTAGTTCACCTACATCCAGAGAGCACTGTGGACTCAAAAAATGATGGATCTGGACCAAAATTGGCACGGGTATTCAATATGTCCAAATGTGAAAACTGGTGGAGTTTGGGGAAAAATAGACCTGGACATTTGGGAGTTGTAGTTGCTGGGATTTATAGTTCACCTACAATCAAAGAGCAATCTGAATCTCCACCAACAATGGAATTGAACCAAACGTGGCACACAGAATTCCCATGACCAACAGAATATACTGGAAGGGTTTGGTGGACATTGATCTAGAGTTTGGGAGTTGTAGTTCACCTACATCCAGAGAGTCAAGCTAGGATGGATCTGGACCAAACTTGGCACAATGACTCAATATGCCTAAATGTGGACACTGGTTGAGTTTGGGGAAAATAGACCTTGACATTTGGGAGTTGGTTTTGCTGGGATTTATAGTTCACCTACAATCAAAGAGCATTCTGAACCACATCAAAGATATAATTAGGCCAAACTTCCCACACAGAACCCCATAACCAACAGAAAGTACTGTGTTTTTCTTATGGTCTTTGGCGAACCCTTTGACACCCCCTCGTGACCCCCCAGGGGTCCCGACCCCCAGGTTGAGAAACGCTGATCAAGCATTATTTTTTCCATGATTACAAATGGGAGATATTATTCTATCATGCAGTGTTTCAGTCCGCCATGATGCAAATTTCCAACCAAGTTTCTCAATTTCTCCTCTTTTTCCAGTTTTGTGTCGGTGGCGGAGGGTATTTCCCGGAATCCAGTCCGCGGCAGTGCGGGGACTATACCGCTTTCGAATGGGACGGCTACGGTTCCCATTCAGGCTGGAGCGTCTCCAAAGAGTTGCTGGAATCTGCGATGCTCATCTTCTACCGATGAGTCTCTCATGGAAGATGGAGACCCTTCGAAACAAAGGAAACAAAGGCTTGCTCTGAGTTGTAAAAGGAATGCAGCTTGGCCCCCTGGCTCAATGCTTTGGAGTCTTGGGAGTTGTAGTTTGGAAAGGCACTCTCCAGAGCTCCAGTGTCCGGAGCTCTTCTCTGCACTCTTGGGCAGAGAAGAGCTCAGAAAACAAGTCCCAGGTCCTCAAAGAACTACAACTCGCAGGTTCCCAAAAGACCCTGGGAAACTACAGCTCCCGGGAAACCATAGCCTTGAGCCTTGGCCAATCCAAGTAGGGGTCAAACTGCATTCATTTTCCTTCCTGTCTGGTTTTTTCAATCTATATAAATAAAAATGTAATGTTCGTTTGTGGGATTAACAGAACTCAGAAACCACTGGACGAATTGACACCAAATTTGGACACTATACCCCTATCAGGTCGAGTGTCCATCACCCCTAAACACACACACACACACACACAAAGAGCAGAACGCAGACTTTTAAAACACCCCAAAATAAACCATATGTACATATACACATACATTCATATACATATACACATGCACACATACATACAGACACACACATATATATATATACACAAGCACACACAAATATACACATATACACACCTACACACATATACATATACACATACATACACACATATATTCATATACACAAGCACACACATATACACAATATACATATACACATGCAAACACAGAAATATACATATACACATGCACACATACACACACACACATATATACGCAAGCACACACAAATATACACATACACACATACATGTACACCTACACGCATATACATATACACATGCATACACACATATATACACAGATATATGCATATACATATACACATACATTCATATACATATACACATGCACACATACATACAGACACACACACATATATATATATATATGCAAGCACACACACATATACACACCTACACACATATACATATACACATACATACACACATATATTCATATACACAAGCACACACATACACAATATACATATACACATGCAAACACAGAAATATACATATACACGTGCACACATACACACACGCATATATACGCAAACACACAAATATACACACATACACACACATACACACATATACATATACACTTGCATACACACATATATACACAGATATATGCATATACCCAAGCACACATATATACACAATATACATATAAACACAAATACACAAATATATTCACATGGATACACACATAAATAAAAACACACACACATATATACACACAAACACACATATACACAAATATATACACAGACATAAAAGCATATACACACACACACACATACATATACATAGATTGGGCCACAGCAACGTATGGCAGGGGGTGGCTTGTCTATATAAATGTAATGTTAGTTTGTGGGACTAACATAACTCAAAAACCACTGGACGTATTGACACCAAATTTTGACACAAGACACCTAACAACCGAATGTATGTCCTTCACTCAGAAAATTGATTTTGTCATTTGGGAGTTGTAGTTGCTGGGATTTATAGTTCACCTACAATCAAAGATCATTCTGAAGACCACCAATGATGGAATTGAACCAAACTTGGCACACAGTTCTCCCATGACCAACAGAAAATACTGGAAGGGTTTGGTGGGCACTGTCCTTTGGTTTTGGAGTTGTAGTTCACCTACATCAAGAGATCACTGTGGACACAAACAATGATAGATCTGGACCAAACTCTACACAAATACTCAATATGCCCAAATGTGAACACTGGTTGAGATTGCGGAAAATAGACCTTGACATTTGGGATTTGTAGTTGCTGGGATTTATAGTTCACCTACAATCAAAGAGCATTCTGAACCCCACCAATGATGGAATTGAACCAAACTTAGCACACATTTCTCCCACGACGAACAGAAAATACTGGAAAGGTTTGGTGGGCAGTGTCCTTTGGTTTTGGAGTTGTAGTTCTCCTACATCCAGAGATCACTGCGGACACAAACAATGATGGATCTGGACCAAACTCTGCATGAATACTCAATATTTCCAAATGTGAACACTGGGGAAAATAGAATCTTGACATTTGGGAGTTGCAGTTGCTGGGATTTATAGTTCACCTACAATCAAAGAACATTCTGAACCCCACCAACAATGGAATTGAACCAATCTTGGCACATAGAACTCCCATGACCAATAGAAAATATTGGAAGGATTTGGCAGGCACTGTCCTTGAGTTTGGGAGTTGTAGTTCACCTGCATCCAGAGAGCACTGTGGACACAAACAATGATGGATTTGGACCAAACTCTACACGAAAAGGAAGTTGTGCTGGGATTTCCAGGCAGACAAACTACTTCCACTTCCTTTTCTGTCGGGGTGACTTTGAAGAGTCCATTTTTTTACTTTTCTCATGAGAAGCGTGACCGAATGTATTCAACGGAAATTGTGGTCAAGTATGAGCTCTGTGAAGACACCCACCAGAACTCTCAAGATGACTCTTTCCCAATAGAACGCTCAAGAAAGAGGCTCTGCCATGGCTGAACCCAAAGCCTCCAGGACGAATTACTCAGGGCAAGCTAAGGTCAGAGTCCTCATGCATTTTGGTGTACGTGCCTTCTCGTCACTGTCTAAGCTGAAAGTCAAAAGCAAAGTCACAACAACATCTGTTACAGAATTCCAATATGCCGATGATAACATAGTCTGTGCACCTCTCCACAAAAGTCAACATTGACACCGAAATACAACACCCGTCTGAGCTCTGTGAGTGCAGCATTTTTCTGAATGAAGTAGAAAGTGTTTAAGGACCAGAACATCCATAGGAATACCAAGGTGCTTGTTTATAAAGTTATTGTCCTCCCAACCCTGCTATACGCCTGTGAAACGTGGACTGTCTACAGACGTCAACATTGACACTGAAATACAACAACGCCTGAGCTCTGCAAGTGCAGCATTCTTCCAAATGAGTTAGAGAGTGTTTGAGGACCGGGACATCTGTAGGGATACCAGGGAACTTGTTTATATAGCCATTGTCCTCCCAACCCTGCTATACACCTGTGAAACGTGGACTGGCTACAGATGTCAACATTGACACTGAAATACAACACCGCCTGAGTTCTGCAAGTTCAGCATTCTTCCGAATGAAGCAGAGAGTGTTTGAGGACCGGGACATCCGTAGGGAGACCAAGGTGCTTGTTTATAAAGCTATTGTCCTCCCAACCCTGCTATACGCCTGCGAGACGTGGACTGTCTACAGACGTCACATGCAACTCCAGGAACGATTCCATCAGCGCTGCCTCCGGAAAATCCTGCAAATCTCTTGGGAAGACAGGCAGCCAAATGTCAGTGTGCTGAAAGAAGCAAAGGCCACCAGCATTGAAGTGATGGTCCTCCACCTTCAACTCCGCTGGACCATGTTGTCCGGATGCCCGACCACTGTCTACCAAAGCAGTTGCTCTACTCTGAACTCAAGAACAGATAACAGATAATGTTGGTTGGAAGGAAAAGAGATTCAAAGATGGGCTCAAAGCCAACCTTAAAAACTCTGGCATAGACACTGAGAACTGGGAAGCCCTGGCCCTTGAGCACTCCAGCTGGAGGTCAGCTGTGACCAGCAGTGCTGCGGAATTCGAAGATGCGTGAATGAAGGGTGAAAGGGAGAAACATGCCAAGAGGAAGTCGCGTGACTGGGACCCCCTTCCACTTGGAAACCGATGTCTTCACTGTGGGAGAACATGCAGATTAAGAAGAGGGCTACACAGCCACCTACAGACCCACTGCTAAGACATTGTACTTGGAGGACCATCATCCTTGAGCTGCAAGGGATCACCTAAATAAGTAAGTAAGGTCCACCAAGACTCCTAAATCCCTTTCACATGATTCACTGGTGCCTGCTGTAAGAGCACTATGGTTTTCTCAATGTTCAATGAAAGGCTGAGATTCTCCAATGCTTCTGCGAAGGTGTTTAGAGTGGCTTGTAGGTCTTCTTCTGAATGCGCACAGACGACATTGTCATCAGTATATTGGAGTTCTATAAGATATGTTGTTGTGACCTTGGTTTTGGCTTTCAGTCTGCTGAGGATAAATAGCTTGCCATCTGTTCGATAGATGGTTTCTTATTCTGAATGCGCACAGACTACGTTATCATCGGCATAATGGAGTTCTATAACAGATGTTATTGTGGCCTTGGTTTGGGCTTTCAGTCTGCTGAGGATAAATAGCTTGCCATCTGTCCGATAGATGACTTCTTATTGTGAATGTGCACAGACTACGTTATCATCAGCATATTGAAGTTCTATAACAGATGTTGTGACCTTGGTGTTGACGTTCAGTCTGCTGAGGTTAAATAGCTTGCCATCTGTCCAATAGATGGTTTCTTATTCTGAATGTGCACAGACTACGTTATCATCCGCATATTGGAATTCTATAACAGATCTTGTTGTGACCTTGGTGTTGACTTTGCAAGCCCCCATCCGCCTCTGCTTGATTGCTTACGTATTGAAGGCAGAAGCGGAGGTCTGCTTGCCTCTGTGGCTTCTTCGAAGTGTTCACCCACGAAGAATAGTAAGTGAGATCTCCACCAGCCGTCCTCAGGAAACCAGTTGTGGGCTTGCTTTGCTGCAAGGCGACCGGGAGGCCTACATTTCCTTCGAACCTTTTGTCCACACTTTTCCGCTAAAGTTCATTGCATATTGCACGCCTCTTGGGTTAAAATGGTGAGCAGAACCTTTTGCAGTGAGGTGGTGGTGTTGGGGGAAAATAGACCTTGACATTTGGGAGTTGTAGTTGCTGGGATTCATAATTCACCTACAATCAAAGAGCATTCTGAACTCCACCAATGATGAAATTGAATCAAACTTGGCACCTAGAACTCCCACGACCAACAGAAAATACTGGAATAGTTTGGTGGGCATTGACCTGGAGTTTGAGAGTTGTCGTTCACATACACCCTAAGAGCACTGTGGGCTTTAACAATGATGAATCTGGACTGAACTTTGAATGAATACTCAATATGCCCAACACTGATGTAATTTGGGGAAAATACACCTTGACATTTGGGAGTTGTAGTTGCTGAGATTTATAGTTCACTTACAATCAAAGAGTATTCTGAACCCATCAACAATGGAATTGAACTGAACTTGGCACACAGAACTCCCATGACCAACAGGGTTTGTAGGGCGTTGATCTTGAGTTTGGGAGTTGTAGTTCACCTACATCCAAAGGGCGCTGTAGACCTTAACAATGATGGATCTGGATGAAACTTTGAATGAATACTCAATATGCCCAACACTGGTGTAATTGGAGGAAAATAGACCTTGACATTTGGGAGTTTTAGTTGCT